ATGGCCATACATTACGTAATACGAAAACAATCGTATTCTTGGATGCATAGTGGATGAAACGTTTTCTAACCTCAAAAAGTGTTGTTTCTGAAGTTACTTTAGTGATAACTGACAGGAAGATCTTTCAATAGTGTCAAATGGTTGAGATACGTAAGATACGTTTTCGACGGGGTTTTCGGATACGAGAAAGGCTTGTAGCGATACGAACAAAGAAACGCAATGAAACCATCGTATTTAGTCTGCGCATGCGCAGATCGATGCGGATACGAATACATTGGGAATTAAGGACCTCTGCTTGAAGTGTTTGATATATACTTTGCGCATTGTAAACCTCGGCGCTTCGCGCCTCGTTTCATAAAAGCGCTCGTTATAATAATGATTAATGACCAAATTCTCTACCTAGGTATATAATAAGTATACTATTTTGATAATATTTTTTTCTATGAGTATTGAATAATATGCGTAAAATACATCCATTTTCTATTGATCAATGTGAATGATTACTCATATAGTGAGTTTTTTTTTCATTACCTAATTGTTTTCAACCAATGAAAATATCCTGGTCTCATTACTCCACTATTTAAGAGCCAATCAGAAAATTCGACAGGTTGACAACATATTTCAACCTTCCATCTCTGAAGCTTCCAATCGGTCATTTTGACAGCTGATTTACAAGACTTGTGCTAGCCTAACCTCACTTTGTCCTCCAGCTGTCAGAATTGTCAATTAATTTTGTTACGAAAATTAAATAAAAAACCGCATAGCTCGTGCCTATTATATATTAATCATAGAAAAAGTATAGTATTCTACTCGTGGGTAATGGCTATTAATTCCGAAGGATGAAGTTTGCACTACGAGCCGCAGGCGAGTAGTGTAATCATCCGATCATTACTCGCTCGTTGAATAATATACTATAATTATTTTATACTAACATAATGATGGTTCACAGATATAATGAAAAAAAATCACAGCACACAAATGTATAAATAACGAAAATAATCACAAAACACAATGATAATTAGGCAATCCAAACCACGTGACATTCAAGATGGCGTAGCGGCCACACATGGACCGAAACACACACAAAAATATCTGGTTTCTGCCTGACTCAATAATTTCTGTACCTAGTCAATAAATATTTTATTGAATAATCGAAATCAAAGCTGCAAGCAAAACTCGAAGCAAAATAATTAAAATATGCATGAAAACACATATTCAAAACAAACTTGCTGGCCGCCACGCCATATTGAATTTTTCGTTTTGACAGATGGATTGGATTGCCTAGTATAACAAAAAGGAGACGCGCATCTGTAGTGACGTCACAAGGGTATCGGCGCTTGTTATTAATAGGCAATCCTCTTTGCTCTTATAATCCCTGGTTTAAGAAAATCAATAGCTACCTTTTTCCGTCTCTTTACGTTATATCTTTCCTCTCTCTCGAGTAACGAAATTTGCCCGTGACGCGTTTTTCAAATCACTCTTCATTGTCGTCCAAATATCCAGACCGCCGCCTAAGAAGTTTCACTTCAAAAATGCGTTAACATTCTGGATTCTTTACTCTAGAGTAGTCAGATTTCCATTAAAACAAAAAAGACGATCTACGGAGCAATCCTAGAGCCGATATTGACGTACGGAGCTGAATGCTGGCAGCTATCGGAGCGAAATAAAAGGAAGGTGCAGTGGAAACAGACTGGAGCATATTATGCAGAACGCTGAAATTCGAAGAAGAATAGGAAAAACTTATAGATACACCGAAAGAATAGAAACCTAGCAGCTTATATGGTATGGGTATGTTATGAGAATGGAAGAGGAGAGATGGACAAAGAAAGCATTGATGTAAAGACTGTTTTTTTTTTTAAAGATAATTCCCCAAGTCAAAAATTTAGTAACTATGTTGGCAACACAAGCCTTTCCTACATAAAAAAATTGAAAGCATTGACAATTTTACATTGTATTGCCAACATAATGTCATTTTGACTTTTATCTTTAAAAAAAAACAGATTTTATATCTTATGGAACAGGAGGAAGAGAGGAAGACCAACGCTAACATGGATAGATGACATCAAAAAAAATATATAAATGATAGAGCGATAGACGAAGAAGAATAAAAAGACTGTACAAAATGGTGAAACAGATGACTGTAAGATCCCCGCGACGATGACGATGATAATGATAAAAAAAACCCAATTTACACTTTTTTTTGAGGGATTATCTGCAGACTGTTCTGCAACAGGTCATAGAGCAGACAATGCAGTGATTTTTTGATTTTGAAGTCTTATAGGGATTGAATTTCCCTATCTGAATTTAAAATAATTTCAGCCGTTTGGGCAACCGATAGTGTCCTCTGAGAAGCCCAATTAGTGTATAAACAGACTGCCCTAGGACCTGTTCCGAACCCAATTTAGGATCCAAATTCTCAATAGTGTAATAATGTCGTATTGGCCCTAGAAGCAAAGGAATACAACTATAGATATTGGTTTGAAATTGTGAGGATTTCTGCCTTCTTTGTTTAGGCCACCTCCACAAGAAAATTTATTTTTTGAAAAAAGAAATATATGTCCGTTGTTTGTGAGTCTACATCTACAAAATTTGAAAAGCCTGATAGGTCAAACTCAAGTTCCAGTGTCGGCACTATCGCTAAACAAAATCTGAGATTCCAATATACCGCCCGCCAACACACAAAACCGCTTTATATTTTTGCAGCGAGCGTGTGTTTGACGGTGGGCGGACATTCGAAATATCGCCCAGTGACATTCGGAGTAATCGTTAAGTGAGCAGGCTTCCGGTAAAAACGGAATTTGCTCTTTTTTTTTTGCTCAGTACTTCCGTTTTTTTGATTAGTAAAGCATAAATGAGTCCCAAGAGTTTACGATAAAAATCCAGAAGCTAAATTTTGTTGTGATCAAAAAAACTGGTCGTATATTATACGTTTTTTTTTTAGGGACATGCTTTATTATGATGGCGAGGCAAGCAAAACGTCAAATGGAGAGTTATTTAACGACCGAAATGCACGCGAATGATAATGCCCCTGGTGTATGTCGCTTGCCTATGTAGCTGGTTGATGGCTGATCTGATCAAAATACATAAATTTTGCTCAAAAATTTTGCTGGCAAACATCATTGACACTTTTTATACAAAAAAAATATCTTAAGACGCTTTCATCTTTGGGACATTAATATATGACACAGTCTTACTTAATTGCGCGGGCCCCAACAACAGTTTTATAGCTGGACATATTTTATAAAGGCTGACTGCATGGGTTGATATTTTATTGGGGAAATATATTAAGCGTACAACGTGGGCATTTTAGGTTCAATTAAATTTACCTAAAGACTACAACCTTTTCCATAAGTATTTCAGAATGTATCACTTGTATTTCAGATTCATCAATAATTCTAGTTCAGAATACGTCAATTGTATTCCAGTTGTGTAAGTTTAATTTCAGAAAGTGTTATTTGTATTTCAACTTTGTCAGTTGTTGTTCAGAAAACTTCATTTGTGTTTCAGTTTGGTCGGTTGTATTTCAGAAAACGTCCTTTGTGTTTCAGATTATTTATTTGTAGATCAGAAATTGTAAATTGTACTTCAGAATTCGTCAAATGTATTTCAGATACAACTGATGATTTCTGAACTACATCTGACAAATTCTCATGACAATATGGACATTTCCACCCTAGTCTCGGGCACAAAGGCAGTACCAAAATACATCGTTTGGGGAATCTCACTTGACTTGCAAATTACTCTGGAGGTGGTTTAAGGGGGTAAAACTAATAATTGCGATTCATCGAAAAAAGTGTTTTTGTTCAATATGGACATTTCCACCCTAATCTCGGGCACAAACAGTACTGGAAATTATAGGCAGTACCAAAATATATCGTTTGGGGAACCTCACTTGACTTGCAAATTACTTTGGAGGTGGTTTAAGGGGGTAAAACTAATAAGTAATAATTGCGATTCATCGAAAAAAGGGTTTTTGTGAAAATATGGACATTTCCCCCCTAGTCTCGGGCACAAACAGTACTGAAAATTATAGGCAGTACCAAAATACATCGTTTGGGGCACTTCACTTGACTTGCAAATTACTTTGGAGATGGTAAAACTAATAATTGCGATTCATCGAAAAAAGGGTTTTTGTGACAAATGGACATTTCCAACCGCGTGAATTATACAGGGTGATTCAAAAGTAAGCGGCATCCTTTCGGGGGCGTATTCCTTGCATAAAAATAAAACAAAAAGTTCCTATTAACATGGGTCCGAAAATGCTTCCTAAGGGAGCTATGCCCCTTCGAATAGGACACCTGAAAGACGTATTTTTCTCTATAACTTTGAAACCCTTCACAAATGGATTTTGAAAATTGGTGTATTTTATAAACATTTGATGGCAATTAAGATACTAAATTGCAAATTCAGAAAATCTTAATCAGTGGCGTCACATACTGGGGAGGGTGGGGGGTTAAAATAGTGTTAATCAGACGTCAACGGATGGCGCCATACTCTACTTACAATCGTCTTTGAACTATACGCCTTTCAGAAAACTCACTTCTCTCTCAAAACAACTTTGCATTCATCATCATCTGGCACACTGTTCTCGCCCAGCTTTAATGTTTCGTTTATTTACATAGTTGATGCCTTATATTTGTATTGAAGGTAAACGTGGGTCTGTGCTTTATTTACCCAAGAAAAAAAATTGTATAAACGCTTTAGAGGATTCGAAATTTTCCTCTAATAAAAAAAAATCCCTCAGCTCCGTAATCGTAAAATCTGTTTTGATGGCTGCAAATAAGGCTCCCATATAATTTAATGCGGTATTTATATCAAGCGACCACATCTATCAGTTTGAAAATAAAAACAGAACGTTCAGCCGCAGAGAGAAACAAACGCTATTCCTGGAATTCCGACCTCTCTGGGTTAGATAATATTTTATTCATGGTCACGTTTCCTAAAGGAAATACAAAATGTTAACTTATACGATTTCTTGTCAATATTTAATGTTTCTTTAGTTTCAGATTCCTTATTCTCGGCTGCTGGGTACACGTTTGGTGCGCCCACACCTCCACCGGGCTCACCATACTCACCAATTCCAGTTACCCAGTTGGAACTGTTAACCAAAGGGTATTCGAACAATATTTTCATACAACAGCAAGATTTCAATACCAGTCCGAAAAAGGTGCAAATTACTGAAAAACGATGCGACGAAAAATGCTGTTCCATACAGAAATCGCAAAAGATTTGTCATTGTCCTACGTCACCTGTGAAGAAAATCCAAGAGGTAATTTTTCACAATATTGAAAAATCTTGTTGTTAAAGTTTCAACAAATTAAATTGTCCTCTTCAGGGCTCAGTTATTGATTCTCCTAATTTTTTCAGATTTCTGGCATAGGATGTTCGAGAACAAACCCCATAGAATGGCCATCAGGTGTAAACGTGAAAAAAGAACCAGGTTTAACGCCGTGTCAAGTAGCAGAAATAACGACCAGCATGTCGCCGGTTGTGAAACTGGAAGTCCATTCGCCCACTCAGAAAATTGGGTCAGAGACTACCATGAGCATTGGTGGATCTGTTGTTAATAGTAATGGTAAGAGGCTAATAATTAAACAATTCATTGAATGATTAAAGCCACCCAGCGTAAAATAATATTCTCTTCAGGCTATATAATAATTTCCATCAAGACAAGCTTATTTACTCAACAAACATTATCTTAGATAAAAACGCTATAGGTATGCCGGATACATTAATCAAAAAACATTTCTTTTTATCGATAAATGGTAAAGAGATTTCCTGTTTTGGTCCGGTAGGTATATAAGGTAAACTAACTGGTTTGAAAATTTGTAAATGATGGCTTGATGCTGACACTAATAATGAATTAATCTAAAATTTTACCACAAGAACTGCAAGTTCTATATATTAGTTTGTTCGAATTCCTCCCTTTCGCAATCGTCAGAGCGAGAGTCTTATTCTTAAAGTCCCCTCAATCCTCGATATTTTCTTGCAGGAGCCCAAATCCCCATCGGCATAGCGGTGGCTAGACAAAGGGTGCAGCACGAAATGGTGGCATCCCCTTCGTTGCCTCCCGCAGGGCTTCTAGCTACTGTCACTACGGCAGGAGGGGCGCAAATTAAGGAACTTGGTAAGTTTCAAGATGATAAGCCTAATTTCATATATTTTTTTTTTCGTTTCAATCGCCAATTCTAAGATAATTCTTTTTTCAAACCCGGAGGGCCGGTTTCTCAATAGCGAGTCACCTCCGGGTTGGTTTTAGCTCCAGGGTAAGCCTGTCCAGTTGCAATGTTTACCCTGGAGTTATGCTTAACGGGGTGACTCGCTATTGAGAAACCGGCACTAAAAGGTACAAACCAGCAGTAAGATTAGTCAATAGTCAACAATAGTTATTTATGTCCGAGTTTATATCATTAGGCCAAACAAAATTTATGTTGTTATTTAGTTTAACTGTCGGTTAACTATTTATAATTATTAGTTAGCCGTTTTGTTTACTGATATACCGATCCTTAATCTTCAAGAAATAGCAATATCTATTTCCTTTACTTTTGGCTTTACACTCTGAGCGCGCTCGAAACGATAAGATCCTGTTCGTTTCAGCTCTCCTCAGAGTGTTCTCTTTTGCGTTGGGCTTATGACCGCGTATGACGTCACAATATCTATGCTCATACCGTTCCGCTCCGTGGAGTGCAAAGTGAAATCAGCCTTTAATTCAGTTTCGGGAAAAATAAAAAGGCAACCACTTTTAGACTTTTAGGTTTGTTCCAACTCCTCAAAAAACTGTCCCAGCACGGTTTCGGAACCACTCTGTATACGAATTTCGGTTTCTGCGCTAAAATTTTAGGTTTTGCGCAGAATTCTGACGGTTATTACACTACGGTTTCCTGTTGGGTTGGAACAAAGCTTATATGCTTATAATTTACGACGTACGTCAAATCTGTTCACTTCAAATGTCAAATCAATGGTTTGGACACTGGAAACACATTTCACTGCTCAGGGACCCTCGTGTGTAAATATGTGCAACTTGATTATCCGTATTTATTTATGCTCGTATTTTATCGAGCATTTTATTTAGGCAGTAATTTGATTTACATTTACAATATTGGAGAAAAAATATCAAACGAACAAATTATTACTGGAAATTATGCTCTTGAAGGTAATTCCCGAACTTGGTCGTTGAAGCTCTATCATCAGTGTCAGATGACCGAGAAGAAAACGCAAAATCAATTTCAACATAATGGCACTGAGTGACGCTGCTGCCTCTAGCGAGAAAAAAACGAACAAATTACCCCACGCATAAAAATCTTTTTTTTACTGCTAACCTGGAAAATAGTCATTCTGTAATCTGTTTTTCTAGGAAAATTCCTCTCCCTAAGCGAATAATGATAATAATGAAAAAAAAAACTAGGTTAACAATGAAAATGACGTCATGAGGTGAATTCTTTTTAACGATTATCACTTTCAGTTTGATCACTTGCAACTGATCCTGATCACTTGTACTTAAAAGAACTGGAACTGATCTGTGATAACAAAGGTTCCTAAAGTTAATAGGTTGTCTCGTAATGGGCAACAGATGACGTCATCTGGGGTGCCTCAGACTGAAGACACAATAACAAATATAAGGTATTAAGTGACAAGAGACAAAAATATAATAACACGTGTGTATCAATAGTTGTATTCCTTTCAAGAGTTTAGAACACTCGAGCTACTTGCTCCGGTGCTAGTCAGTCAGTGCTAGTCGCCCTCCTTCTTAGTTAGTTTTATCCACACAGGATTGCTTATCGGTCTCGTTTTTGGTAATCGCGGTCATATGGTGCAGCACCATTTCCAACGTCATTAACCAAGTCGTCAGCTGTTTGCGCCAACGGTCGTTGTTTAGAATTTAAATTTATTATGAAAAGTATTATTTAATTTTGATTATCATAATAGGCAAAGAGGAAGATGCAAATTAGATCTACCTAAACCCAAGTATGCATAAGCAAAAGCCCGCGGAATCATATCTTACGGTGCAAACACCGTACGTCAAGGCGAGAAACGACACGCTGCTACGTCATCACTGGTGCTTTGGCCTGGTGGGGGGCTTCAGTACACAGACCTTATTAACTAAAACAAATCTGGCGAAGACATTACCATAAAAGCATGGGTAATAGACAATGACCTAGATGGCAGAAAAATTTTAGCTTTGGTAAAACATTGAAGGATTCGTTGAGAATCCGGATGAGAAAATCTTAGTACAGCCAGACCGCTGTGTCACGGACCATGATTATTAGTTATTACTGGATCAACTGCCGTGAATTGTCAAGGAATTATTAGGGTTTCCATATGGAACAATGTCCGGAAAACTCGGAGATACCCAAGGATCGAGCCAAGGATGATACACACTACTACTACAGGATGGCCTATCCTCATAAGTGTGTGTGTGTAACAAACATTGATAACAATACCAGTTGTGACGTAGGCAGCATGTTATTTCTCGCCTTGACGTAGGCTGTTCAAACAGCTGATGACGTCGGAAATGGTTTCACAACAATATAGCGGCATTTACCAAAAACAACACAAGGCCGATAAGCACTCCTTAGATGAGTGTGTATTCCCCTTGGGAGATACCTACCAAAAATTCGAAATTTTGTATCCTGGGGTGGCAAGTAAATTGTATCCTGTATCCATTTATTCTGGGTTGCCTATAGGATTGATACCCGTGTTATTATATTTTTGTCTGTTGTCATTGATACCTTGTATTTGTCATTGTGTCTTCAGTCTAACGGAATAAATTAGGCAATTTAATCCATCTGTCAAAAAGGAAATTTCAATATGGCGTGGCGGCCAAGCAAGCTTGTTTTGAATACGTTTTTATGTGTATTTTAAATTATTTTGCTTAGAGTTTTGCTTGTAACTTTGATTTTGATTATTTAATACGATATTTGTTGACTAGGTACCTAAACTATTAAATCGGGCAGAAACTAGATATTTTTTTGTGTTTTTTGGGCCACGTGTGGCCGCCACGCCATCTTGAGTGTCACGTGATTTGAATTGCCTAATAAAATTTATCGGCCAAGTCCGGATTTTGTCCGGATTTCTTGACTCCTAGGTCCTGGATTCCGAAAAACCTTTATGGAAACCCGGAATTATGCAAGAGATAAGACCAAGAAAGGACCCAATGAGACGCGATCGCTAGGAGGAATAAGCTATCGACCTGTAGTAGTAGTATGCGTTATCCTTGATTTGCAATATGTTTTTGGACAAACTAGAACCATTTGTAGTTATTGACCTGTGTGTCAATTATTGGTACACACTACACAGGATGTCAATTACTGGAATTTCAAGAGCAGATGAATGAAGTTCTAGTAGGTGTAGCTTATTATTACTCATTTTATATACTCATGTCTCGACTCGTGTACTAAGAAAAAAAAAGTTTTTTGTGTCAATAACTGGGGTGTCAATAATTGGATAATAGGTGTCAATTGCTGGGTCCCCAAAGATACATTTAAATTCCATAAGAGAGTCTAATTATGTCAATTATTGTTACATTCACCTTATGTTGAGGCACCCCAGATGACGTCATAAAATTATCAGACAACCTACCTCTCTCAAATTACCTTGATGTTGAAGCACCCCGGATGACGTCATACAGTTATCAGGCAACAACCTACCTCTCTCAAATAACCTTGGTTTTTGGGCCACCCAGATGACGTCATTAAAGTTATCAGGGCTGGGATTCTGTAATAGATAGAGATCGTTATTCCCTTCGCTATGTCACTTGTTGTCTGGTTCTCTCTTCTCGAAATCAATAGAGAGGGGAGTCAATGGAGAAAATTTCTCTATTCGTTTCAGAGTCCCAGCACAGGTAACCTACCTTTTTCAAACAACTTATTGATAACAGCTGCTTACGATCACACTATTTTCTGACCTAAGTTAGCGTTTTCGGTTACCTTAACCTAGCAAAATTCAAATAAACATCAAAATACCTCGGAGTGATCGAGCTGGAACAAAGCATTTTTCCCATCACTTGAATCAGTTACGTTCACGAAGCTAGCAACAAGTTTTCAAAGAACGCTATCACTTAATTCACTTTCACTTATATCACTTTGATCACTGATAATTGACTAGAAAGGCTACGCCTTTCTAATATCTTTGGGTTTCTAGTTTCTATATAATGACCAACTTCTTTATTGAGATTACCGACTTTACCTAAGAATATAATATACTTTTATGGTCCTAAGTACATAATGGTCCCTATACACCCTATACACTTCTTTACCTTCGTTGTTTCAAGTACATGTCAAGTGTTGAAGACAATAGGGGTACGTTCGAAAAATCACTACTGGGTGTCACCCAGTGGATCGGTGGCATCATTAAGGTAGAATAATAAGGAGGCGACATAAGGAGAAAAAAGCGTATCTACTTCCGCCATATTGTTACGACACTTCTGTCTGAGATTCTGTCACTTTTGTCATAGCAATGCGTCAAAATTGCATCAGGGCCGCATTTTTCATCCGAAGATTTTTTGAAAGTGAAAAATTTTTGAAGCCTAGAATTTCTATTTTGGGTCTTGGAAGGATCTCCTGTTTCAGTATGTTGATGTTTCTGTAGTAACTTTTTCTTTCTTGGTGTAATCTCGATTTTTTACGTTTTTAGATAAAAATTATAAAGAATCCATTTAGTTCGGCTCTGTTTAAGTAGCCATATTGTTGCGACACTTAGCCACGCCTACCGATGCCGTTTTTTATTGCACTATTCAAATGAGGACAGCGTCTCCTTATTATTCTACCTCAATCCTATACCGGAATGTTTAGATGCGGACCCGTGGGGTGCTCCGTTCCAACCACTGATGTTCCAACCGACATGAAAACCGTTCCAGAACCAGTAATTTTTCAGTTGCCAACCTATTTTTCAATAGTTGAACGTTTTTCCTACTTGACAAATGAATTGATCGACTGGAAATTACCGTTCTAGAAGAATGGTTCCCATGTCGGTTGGAACAGAGTTACTACTACACAGGATTGCTTATCGGCCTCGTTTTTGGGAATCGTGGCCATATTGTATAGCACCATTGACGATGTCATCAACTACTTCGTCAGCTGTTTGCGCCAGCGGGCGTAGTTTAGAATGTACAGTCGTGATCATAAAAAG